CGGCTCCAACTATGAGGTTGAGTGAAAAATCACTCACCTCATAGTTCTCCTTTTAATTAACCAATAAGTCATTTTGGAATGTGTTCTTTGCCTAAGCATTGTGAAGGTATTGCTCTCTTTCATCTTAGAAGGTTTGTAGATATGTTGGTACATGGTGCATACTAGGGTTGCACAGATACCAAGTACAGTACTTGGTACAAGTACGAGTACATGTACCGATACTTTTGAGCTCCAAGACTACACTAGAGAAAAATTCAAAAGTAAGGAGTCAGCTGTCATTTGTAAGGAGCACACGGAGCTCCTGGGATTTGTACATCTGTTTTAATGTACAATTTTGTTTTTATAAATATAAATAAATTGATGCACAGATGCCAGTTTTGCGAGTACGAGTACTGGTACTTGCCGAGTACTTACAAGTACGAGTACTGATACATTTTTGTTTATTGTCATGTGACAGTTTTTCTAAAACAATACAGACTAATGATTTCAGGACAGTAGGGGAGTGCCAGAGCCAGGTCCCAGCTGCAACCGCGGCAACCCTGGTAGTTCTCATGAAAATGCCAAGTATCTGCACTGGTACTCAAAAAGTATCTGTGCATGCCTAGTGCATACAGTAGCAATCAGAGGATTTTGCTGATCATAGTGGGAGGAGATACACATCATACCCACAGCACTGACACTCGGGCCTGGAGCTACCGCAAGGCAAGTCAGGCGGCCGCCTTACGGCGCTGCAGGGAGAGGGCGGAAAAAACACGGCATTTTGACAAGTACTTGTCAAAATGCCCCGATGTTTGCACTATGTTTTTTTGAGGATCCCGACACGCGCGGCACCTCAGGCAGTCGCCGGCCAGCTAAATTAGGACCCCACCTGGAGCTCCTCCCACCGGACCAACGCTGACTCGCCGCTGCTCTCCCGCACCGAAGGTAAGTGGAAAAAAAAAATATCACAAACATCGGGGCATTTTGACAAGTACAACTACTTGTCAAAATGCCCTGTTTTTACAGGGGGTCGGGGGCGCAAAAATGAACCTTGCCTGTGTAAGCACGAATCCTAGCACCGGCCCTGCTGACACTAAGCACACTACTGCTGTAGGGGTTGGGCAGTCCAGTCAGCACAACCACTAGTGATTATGGATGCCATTGTGTTCTTTATAGTATGATAAACCCTAAACAATGTCCTCATTGGTAAGCCAAGATAAAGTCACACAATTGTTCTCTTAACTTGGTTTTATTTCAGGAACTGAAATGTAATCTTGTAATAAATGGGGAAATAAACATATCTTGCACATCCACATCATATATCAATAACATTCTGTGCTTGAACTTCATTTCATCTCAACAGGCAGAATTTATTTCCCTTTATAGTATTACTTTTTTTTACATACATTTACTTTGTGTAAGCACCAAGGAAATCTATTTTGTACAATTGCAGCCTTTATCAGGACAAATCTATCCCAAAAGCAGTGAAAGGCGCAATACCAGTTGCATGTGCAATATACTATAGATAATCTAAATAGTAATATAGAAGACAGCATAAGCTCACTGCTTGACTGTACATGTGTATTACTGCACTGGAGTAACCACAGGGACTACCTGTGTCATAGTAATCCTTGTGATGTTGTTGTACCCAGATGATCAGCATGGCCACCTTCAAGTTGCGCACACATTTTCCTATTGGTCCAAATAAAGCACACAGCACAACACATGATATTTAGAAGACAGTGGTGGTAGTTCATTGTTTTCAGAGTTGCAATAATATTCAGTTTGTAGGAGGTTTGATCTATATAGTAACACCCTTGTTTGTTGTGCCTGGACTGATGGACATCAAAATACATCCACCTGCAAAATGCGTCCTTGTTTAATACAGTGCAAAATGCAGCTATAAGCAAATGGCAACAATCAAAACTTAAAGCATACCTAAACCCAAAACCAATATTTTATTATATTGCAGTTTACCAGTCCTTACATTTTGTGTCTGCATTAGTTTTATTTTTTCTAAGGCTTGTTTCCCCTTTATTTTCACCTGGTAATCCTAACAAATTCACACTTCCTGTCTGTGGGTGATTACTTTCACTCCTCCACTGTATTTATGTATGAAGCCATGGTTGCTGCCCAAGCTGCTGTCCTGATTTAAACTACAACGAGGTCTTACTCTATTCATCTCTATCACATCGGGGAAGAAGGAAATTGGTAGTTTACAGAAGACATCTTCTAAGGAGATGAGATTATCTATGCTTTCAGTCCAGCTCATAGGAAGTGACAAGGGCACTGCATTCATGGCAAAATCAACAGTTAAAAATGTTCTTCGCCTGAAGAAAAAAAGAAACCAAATGTAGCCATTACATGTGAGAGCTCCCCTTAAATCATATCATTCATATCTAAACTAAGAATAAAAACTAGATAGCAGTTTACCAGTTCTGAGGTGGCTGCATTCATTCTCTTTTTAGACCACAAACATTTAAAGCAAGTACATAAAATACCTGTAGATCTTGAGGGAAATGTCCCTTCTTGAGAGCTAAAAAAAAAAAAGCACATCCTTATTTTTCCTGTGTAAACTAGATCAGTCCATTAGTCCCATCAATCCATCCTTGTAATAGAGATAAATAAACATGGACATGTTTAAAGTCCTATTTGTGTGACAGCCATGGCTCCTTCCAAGGATACAGTGCAGAAATGAGTGTAGCCACGAAAGAACAGGAAGTGTGTTATTAGCAGATCGAAATAAAGAGAAAAAGGCCAGAAAAAAACAAAACCTAATGCAGCCCCCACATCTAAGAACTGGTAAGCTGCAATATATGACATTTTTGTTCTTGGGTTTAGATACACTTTAATCTTTCTTTACACTGGCTACACTAAATTGTGTCATGAATGAGTAAAGAGTATGGTATGTTGCAGGCATTTTCTGTGCTAGCATGAAATCATTTTTAATGTATGGAAAGCTAAGATCATATGAGAGGACTGTTGAAGACAAGCGACTATGTTGCCAGAAACTGGGCAGATTGGATTTCATTTATTATTCTATTTATTTCTGCTGAGAAAATATAGATAACAATAGATAACTCATGGTTTGCATTGTCGCTTCACAGACAGTGGTGACAAGATCTTCAGCACTGAACTGACAAGTGAATGTGCATATCTTTTCACAGTCGAACAATCAAAATCCCCAATATATTTCCACCTAGTGCTGATGAAAGCTTGATTTTTTCTTAGTTGCTAATGCACCTCATTATGGTTTCTCTTTCAACAACTTAGAGAAAAGGCAGGTTCAAACTGGCTATACATCTGTCTAGGTACATTTGGGGTGTCCAAATCACTTCCCGTGTGACTTGTGGTATTGCCTGCTGTACACTGTTGCTATTATTGCTAATGAGAAGAGGGGCACAAAAACATGTGACACCAAACTAATTTTGGTAGCACTTCATGGTATCTTCTTTCATTACCACTAATTCTCATGTGCCTGTAGCTCACCATATAAGTCTTGTCCAACCTAGTTGTTGCACTTAAGAATCGATCATGCCACAATAAGACCCAAGGACATACCTCTTACCATTTAGCACAACATACTTCTCCTACTAAAAATCATTTCTATACTCCACCAGACCTGCCAGTCAATTAAAAAACGTTTTAAACTGCCTACATATGAATATTTAAGAACTTCAGGTATCAGTGCAGTGTTGGACTAGGACAACAAATAATTAGTCCTAGCAGACCACATTTCTAGTGGACCATTAATGCTCTTATGCAGCTACCAATGCTGCACAGAAGCCACTTGCAGATGTCTGATGAAATGACGCTTTCTCCTTCATAAAGAAGACTGACAAATGCCAGAGTTGCCAGTTGGCCAATCCAGGCTTGTCAGCACATAAAGTCTGCTATGAATTAGCCCGCATTACACATTTTATCTTAGAATGCTAAAATAGTATGTTCCGCTCTTTGTAAAAAGGCCTTAAGTCTGTTCATCTCACAGTAGGCACAGTCCCTCAAGGAGTACACAGTAGCTACTCTGCAGGGGAGGGCTATTGGGGGAGGAAAGAATGAAAACAGTCTACTGTGAAACTCACACATGGGAAACGACAGGACCTCGGTATGCCACAAAATTCTATGTTCTATCTATTACTTTTATTGTGGTTTTACTAGCAGGAGGATACACTATTCTGGCAAGCTCTACATTTGTTCCCATAATCCCTTACTACGGAAATTGTGATGCTTGTGCTTTGTAGCCATGTGACTATCTTACAGGAAAAAAAACTGAACCTACCTCTGCATTCTTTACCAGAACCCCTTGTTACTAGAGGCATGGAACACATGTTTCTTAGTAACACAACTATCATATGGGAAGATAAAACAGCTATACTTTCCTGGCTGCTACTTCTGAATTCTTTCTGACAATATCCATTTCTGGGTCTTATAGCTGGTACTTTTATCCTGTTAGCTGCTCATCAGTGTCTTCTGGGCAGCTAATTCTCTACTTCTACTGTGCAACACCCTTTTAGGACAGAAAGAGATGCTTAGCAGTAGACATTGAGGGTTAGTTACAAAAAAATGGAGCAAAGAAATCTGGAGTACAAAACAGTTTAGTTGACTAGAGCAACCAAGTAGATTGATTAAAACATATGGAAGAATAAAATGTATTGATTTTATGGGCGACTGTTCCACATTTACAGTTTTCTTTGTCCTCATTTTTGCAGATCAGCCCTACTATGAGCATTCTTCCAATGTGCTTTAGTTACGACATGACCTTTTTTGTCTGTATCAATAGCAAGTAAATGGGCCCTGTCTGTTCTCTGAGTGTCGGTTCTCTTTAAACATTCTAGACCAGAGTACTACTAGTAACAGTACTCAGCAGATTATTAAGAGAGGCAGTAGTGCTGTGCTTATACAAATATAATAATATAACATTCACGGGATCAGTTTGATTAACCCTTTGCTGAATATGTGGCCTGCTTAGTAAAAAGATGATTATATATACTCTTTGTGTTAAGAGCAGCAAAAAGAAGAAATATATGTGTGGTTATGAAAAAAAAGAAATACATTGAATCTGCAATGTGAAGAAGGTTATAAAATGGAGCTGTCCAGATGGAAGGATTGTCATTCTTGTATTCTTCCTAGTCACTGTCGCTTCTCTCAGCCAGCACAGCATCATTGTCCTCTGTGATTTGCAGAAGGGAATGAGGATCAGGGCTTTCTCCTCTCAGCAGCTCGGTTACTTCTCCTTCCTCTTCATCGTCTCCTCCAACTTCCACCATTTCTGTGGCCTGCACCTCTACTTCCCCCTCCCTGATTTTCTTCACGTAGAAGGTAAAGGGATGCACCTTGTAGACAGCGGTTTTGGAACGGGCATAGACTGGATGGTCAGGTGTGAAGGACTTTTTAAACTTGTCCTTGGAGGTCTTCATCTTTTCTCGTCTCTCATTTGTTACAATCTTGGTTCCAAACTTGTTCATCTTCTTCTCAATGTTGTGCCTGGTCTTCTCCAGGTTCTGCTTGGTCTTTTCCAAATTTTCTTTGGTTTTAACCTTGGTCTTTTCCATCTTTTCCTTTGAGAAAGCTTTCTTTATGTCATCAACTCTCCTCATTCCACTTTTCTTGATGCGTTCAGCTCTGGACTCTTCAATGATTTCTTCCATCTCTACCTCTTCATCAGAGGACAGCTGGATATGATCTGTTTCTCCTTCCTTGTTCTCATTCTCTTGAACTTCTCCCTCTATTTCATGTTCCTCTGTGTCTTTCAAAGACTTGCTGATGCTGAGTTTGGCAGGCAGCTTTACTTCATCCTGAATACAGCAAATACAAAAAAGAAGGTAAGACAACAAATGAAACAGAGTAAAGTAAAAAATAAATACAAGGGAACTGTTAATTTTCATATTATTTTGACTGGAAACTTCTGGTTAAATGACTTCGACTAAGAAGGATCTGCATATTCTTGTAGGCCATAGATGTATGAGCATATATTGCCAGTCCTGCAGCCTCTGAACATTCAAAATACTGTCATATTAAAACTCCAATTCCAAAAAAGTTGGGAAGCTGTGTAAAATCTACATAAAAACAGAATACAATAATTTGCACACTTCATATACCCAGATTTTATTCACAACTGAAAACATATCAAATGTTTACACTAGGGATGCACCATTTTTTTCCAAACCGAGTATGAGTACCGATACTTTTCCTTAAAGATTCACCAATACCAGTTACCGATACCTTTTTTTTTTAGTGTCATGTGACAGTTTTTCTAAAACAATACGGACTAATGATTTTAGGACAGTGGTGAAGTGCCTGGGCCTGGTACCAGCTGCAAACGCTGCTCCCCTGGTCTGCCACTGACTCCAAGCTGTAGAGAGACTACAAATCTCAGCAATACATTATATAGGAATGCAGAATACAACCATTTATAGAGGACTACAAATCCTAGTAATACATTATACACTAAAGCAGAATGGCACTGGCTGTAGGGGACTACAAATCCCATCAATACATTGTACAGCAATGCAGAATACCAACAACTACAGAGGACTACCAATCCCAGCAATACATTCTACAGCAATGCAGAATAATATGAAGCTACATACTCTGTGTTGCTCTGGGGTAGCAGCCTGATGTCTCAGGAGGGCTGGGTTGGAACTCAGGTGGGCTGTGTGCGCTCTCAGGAGACTGTGCAGGGTCTAAGGAGGGATGTTCGGGCTCTTAGGTGGGCTGTGCGGGGTCACAGGTGGGTTGCATGGTGTCTCGGGTAGGCTGTGCGAGCTATCAGGTGGGCTGTATGGGCTCTCAGGTGGGCTGTATGGGCTCTCATGTGGGTTGCGCAGGGTTTAAGGTGGGCTGTGTGGGGTCTCAGGTGGGCTGTGAAGGCTCTCAGGAGGCTTTTTGGGCTCTCAGGTAGGCTGTGCAGGGTCTCAGGTGGTTTGTGTGAGGTCTCAGGTGGGCTGTGCGAGGTCTCAGGTGGGCTGTGTGGGGTCTCACCAGGGGTATGGAAGGTCTTGCTGGTGGCAGGGTTCCACAGTAAGGAGGAGAAGGAGCAGTGCGGCCAGGGCTGTAAACAGCTGACTCTAGCAATTAATGACACAAGTGTTACCGTCATCACCTCCCGATGACAGATCCCATCAGAGCCCCATTGCAGAATTTCTTCTGAGTCTACCGTGCTGTGCTGCAGGCTGGCACAGAATCAGTTAACTTGATCTACTCATCAAGACTTTTCTGAACTCCCTTCCCCGTTACATAGTATTTGAGGTTGAATAAAGACATAAGTCCATCAAGTCCAACCTATTGCTGATGTGTATAGGTCCATGTATCATCTCATTCTTAGGAGTGCTTGTACCCCTGTATATTACAGTCCCTCAGGAAATTGTCCAAAAGCTTCTTGAACGATTCCACACTCTTAGCTGAAATCACTGCCGGTGGCAGTGAGTTCCAGACCCTAACCGTCTTACTGTGAAGAACCCCCTTCGCCCCTTGTGCTGGAATTGTTTTTCCACCAATTTTAGGTGGTGGCCTCTAGTTTTTGTAATGGAGTTAATCTTAAGAGTTTGTTGCTAATGTTGCTGTCACCATTGAACATTTTGTACATGCGTACTCCAGATGAGGCCGAACCAGCGATCTATAAAGTGGCACAATTATAGACTTGTCTCTGCAATAAATCCCCTTCTTAATACAGGACAGGACCCTACTTGCTTTGCTTACTGCAGCCTGGCACTGCAAGCTACCATTCAGTTTGTGGTCTACAATGACCCCCACATCTTTTTCTATTTCTGACTTCTCCGTTAAAAAGCCCTTTATTACCTTTCCGTTTTATGGGCTCTCACTCTCACTTTCATCTTGCTATTCTGCATTTTAACATCCGATCAGTGGACAATCCTGTTGAATGAGCAGCCCCCCCCTTCCTCCACCATGGGGCCACAGAGTATCTGATACAGATGAAGAGATAAAGTGTTTATTCGCAGATCAGCGCAGCAGATGTCGCCTGGGGTGGTGCAGTGCAGGAAGGATCACTCCATTAGGTAGATCACTCGTACAGGTGTTGGTTTACCCCCGACTTCCGGCCAGGACCGGAAAAACAAACGGATCAGAGATACATTTCGATGGACCAAATTGTGCCGGATCGGGGGTAATCTGATATAAACGGTCTATTTACATCCGATTCCCCATAGACTGACATGGGGTCCAGTAATTTCAGTTTTTCCCTCCATCAAGGAGGAGGAAAAAACTGGACAGACACAGATATCACAGAGATGACATCCACTCCGTATTGCTCTGATCAGGCAGGGATTCATGCACGGACCCTCTCCTGATCAGCCCATGTGAAAGAGGCCTAAAGGAGAACAGGTAGATTTTATAGTAAGGCAGAATGGACCATAAGTTGTGACTCAAATTATGAATAACATTTCTTCAAAGTAGTAAAGGTTGATTGACACTCCATGGAGGCACTTAAAGGATACTTTTTATAGCAGTGTAAATGCAATAATTAAACTAGCACAGAAGGAAGGTGCACTTTAGGACCAGAAACATTTCAGTACATATGAGGGTTAGTGAAGGCAACATATTGGATTATTGTCACATTGTAAGTGTTTTCAGTAGGTTGCACAATCTTCACAGCCTAGTAATACAGGATTTAATGTGTTAAATAAGCCTCTGCCTCATGCGGGCTATGGTATGTGAGACACATTCTGTTTGTTCATTAGTTTAAACTTTAGCCGGATTTACACAATTTTCTGCAGTCTACAGTCGGCTGCCAATGGAATCATTTTTTTTTTTTTCCATGTGCATATTATTTTCCATCCCCACTACTGTGCCAAAACTCTCAAGCATACAAGACTCAGCTCTGTCCCACACAAAGTACAGAAAACATGTCAGGCTTGTTTTCATAATCTGTATTTCAAACTTGATATCAGGACTATTAGTCCTTTTTGATAAGGATATATTCATATTTTATTGTTTTGACTACCCTAGACTAATGGAAAATGAAAACTGATTGCTACTGGTTACAATCCTCTTAAAACACTGATATATGCAGTGCCTTATGAAGCCCAAGTAAACTCTAGCTGTGCCTATTTTGTCAATACAGTGCTAATTTTATTTGCCCAAAGGATAAGGTCACGCAACACCTTTTTTCATCTGTGATCTTACCAGATGATATGATCTTCTACTAAAAACAATGCATGTTAGGCAGTAACATAGAGATTTATGGATATAGGTGGCAAGCCAAAGAGCAGCGGCAGAACTACTGCCATAGTCAGCATAGCGGTTCTATAGGGAGTGAGGCAGAAGGGGGTTCGGCAGGGAACAGGATGGGTGAGCTGTTTGTCTTGGCAGCCTATATGCTTCTTCTCTTGCGGACCACGGGGTGCATATTAGAGCGATCTCCCAAGTCCTGTGCCTTTCGCTGTAATTTGGCATCAGGATTCCATCTCCCAAACTCATGCATTGACATCATTCATTCAAAATGAGTAGCATACTCCCCTTGCTTATTGCTGTAATCCAGCAGCAGGACTCTTGTAGTCCCACCGCTGAATTGCAATAGGCACAGGGAGTGGCTAATATTGATGAATAAATGATATCACTTACCTATTGTCACTGTAGCTTCCTCAATCGTGGTGACTGCATCTTGGAGACAGGTATTATAGGATTAAGGAGGCTGAAGGGAGTAGTGTTCGTTTGGGGACTGCGACTACAATACCTGCAGAGCTGAGAAGCAGCATGAGGGAGTGACAGACTACAAATGAATGCAACAAAAAAGTGCAGTGTGTATATATATATATATATTATTGGTTGGAGTTTTACAATTCAGATTATTTTAAATCCATAAAACTAATTAAAATGTCTAATATAATACATACAATTATTAAAACAATATATTAAAAAGTGTGTGATCGCCTGCACTGAAATGCACCGTACCGCAATACCGTGCATTCCAGTGCAGTGTGATTGCAAAAAATGTGCATGCAGTTTTATTCTAAAGTAAACTTTATGTTTTTAACACTCCGTTTGTGTATTTTATTTTAAATAAAAGATGTAATTTTACTTTTTTTTATTTTATCCGATTCATCGAAAAAAATATTGGCAAACTAATCAATTATGGAAATAATAGTTAGTTGCAGCCCTAGTTTTGTGTGTTAAGTGTATCTGTTAGCGTGTGTTTATTGTGTATGTTAGAGTATCTGTTTTCAGTGTCTGTGTGTTTAGTGTATGTGTTAGGAGCAGGTCACATTAGCAATCCTGTCCACTGCCCAACTTACCACAAACAGAATCACTATGCATATTAGTGGAAATACTGATGAAACATCCATGTATTACTCCCTCGCTGTCAAGACGAGCCACTGCTCCGTCACTGATGGAAATGTTTCAGGAAGTCACTCCTTGCTAACCCTGCCCCCGAGGATTTCACACATAGATCCAGGTGAGCATTTACTTGGCTTTGCATAGCAATCCTTGGTGGAGTGATCTCCTTCTGACAACTGCCTTATAGTCCACTGATGGTCAGTGGGTAGAAGTAGGCATTCTTCCTCCAATTGACAATTAAGGTAGGAGGGTATTTTTCTCTCTACTGACCACCAATGTAAGGGAACATTCTTCCTCCATCTGACCTCCACTGTAAGGGGGCATCATTTTTCCTACTGACCATCAATGTAAGGGAGCAGTCATCCTCCTACTGACCACCCACATAAAAGAAACTTATTCTTTACACTGACCATCATTGCAAGGTACCATTCTTTGTGCTCCTAGCCCTAGCCCCAGCATAGGGGAGCATTAAAACCAAAATTTGTTTTGGTAGAAAATACTA